AGTCATATTCTCAATGACTGGGGTAACAGGGACCTTGAGGGGTCCATACCTTTCCTCCTTTTGCCCCTCCTGCCAGGTCCCACCAAACCAGGGAAGCAGCTGCTTTCTGCCTTTGTCATCCTGCCCTGGACCCCACTCCACAGCTCACAACCTCCTGGCCTAGCCTTTGCCCCTGGGGGTTTGCAGTGAGTTAATGAGCTGGTCTCTGAGGTATGAGCAGCTCTGGGAAAGGGGGCACTAAATATGGCCATCACAGCATTCGCATTTGTCACACTCATTTCTGGCCTTAATAGGCTGCTGGCCACAGGATCAGCACATCAGCAGGTCTGCCAGCTCTGGCAAGGGAAAACCGATGTCCACACTGGTCTAATGGGGTTGCGGGAGGAAGATGGAGTAGAGGGGTGGGATGCAGCCCCAGCATCTCCACCCACCTCTCACAAGGGTTTACCTGGACCTAGCTGGAATCCTCCTGGGGCCCCAGAAGTCAGAGGGCAACTACCTTCTGGGGCCCTGGGAAGTGAGAGGCCCAGGCTTCAGTATGGGAGGAGGCCAAGCGTAACCAACATGGTATCAGCCAAGTCTGGGAACCTCAATGGGTCCACGGTGCTAGGGGAACATGGCAGTACGGCATTTCAGATCAACACAATTTATTAAGCACCAACAGTGAGGCAGGCTCTGTACCAGGAACACAGAGATGAATAAGACAGTCCCTGCCCTCAAAGGGCTTACAGTCTAGTAGGAGAGACCAACCAGCTTTGGGCTGATTACTATACTGTGGATTCAGGTAAAATACAGGGGTGGTGGGATCCCAGAGCACATAACACAGCCTGGGGCTTCAAACAGTGTCTGAGCTGGGAGTCAGTCAGTGGTAGAAAAAAAAAAAATTTCCAGGTTGGGGAACAGCATGGCGAAGGCACGGAGGCGAGAAACAGCCTGGTGCACACGGACTACCAAGAGTTCAGGGCTAGGAGTACATGGAATGGGAGGTAGAGTGGTGGGAAGTGGTGAGCAGGGTGATAGAGGTGCTGGAAAAACACCAAGGTGGGGGGCAGTGGGTCATCCCAGAAGAGGCCCGGCCTCTGCCGGCTACTATACTACATTACCTACAGGGAATCCTCACTGCGTCCAGGCCAGGGCATCAACTAGGGGAAAGTCCTGTTTGAAGGTGGTAACCCTTGGTACAAAGTCATTTGCCATGGTCCCCCAAGGAGGTTTTGGCCACGATGGGGCATGTGCGTGGAGGGGGTCCAAGTCTAAGGAACCTCCCCAGTTTTAAACACTGGTGAGACCACAGAGGGACAGTGTTCCTCACTCCTAGCCACAAGAAATTTAGAACAGTCTCCCACTACTGCTTACACACCCCATCAAGGACACTGTTCTGCAGGTAGTTTTAGAGGGAGGGGCCCTGGGAAGGTGGGAGGGAGTATCTACTGACAGAGGGCTATTTCTCTGCATCAGACAGGATGCACAGCAAAGAAAGGTTAGCCCAGTGCAGGGCTCCAGTCCAGATTCAGAGGGGGTGGCGGGGAGAGGGAGAGAGGGACAGAGGGAGGGAGAGAGGAGGGAGAGAGATAGAGATAGATGATAGATAGATAGATAGATAGATAGATAGATAGATAGACAGACAGACAGATAGATAGAGAGGTGAGGGGGCTGGGAGGAAACAGGATGCATTTATTACCTAGCTTCAGCTTCCGAGGAGATGGAGGTCTGGGGCTTCCTGCCTTGGAGTGCCCACTAGGGGGAAGGCAGGAGGTAGCGGGTGAGCAGGTAGAGGAGACTGGCAATGCCGGCCAGACCTGTGAGGACCCCGAGCCTCAGCGGCAGGTACTCCAGGGAGCGCTCCAGCTCTGCGTGCAGGAGGATGATCTGGCGTTTGGTGACGCTCCACTCCCCCGAGTTGTCCAGCACGTGGCGGGCCAAGCGGGCCTTATCCTTCAGGGGCAGCTGGGCATTGATCCGGGCCTCTGCGTCCTCGCGGTTCAGGTTGTTCCGCCGCATCAGCCGTGCCAGCTGTGTGTCGCGATCGCTACGGACAGGGCCAAAGGGCTGCTCAGGCGTTGTGGGCCCCAGCCTCCCTCCCACCAGCAAGTTACAGGGTTGGGCAGCCCCTTCCTTGACTTTAGTTCCACAGCCAGGGAGGAAGGCCTGGAAGTTCACTGGCTCCCCCGGCCTCACTCCACTCTGTGAGGACCCTGGTAGCAAGATGGGCTATATAAGCCCCTTGATATCAACAAAGGGGAAAGGCTGCATCAGCTGCTTTCTGCCATCGGGCGTCTCTCTGCTTTGCCACAAGGCTGAGAATTCCCAGTTCTAACAAGGGAGGATTTGATCACCTGGAATCGGCCACATCCTGGATCACTGGATGGGTGACCTTTACTTTTTAAAGGCCTGTGCCTGCAAGCTAAACGCTTCCTGCGTTTCCCCTGGGGGCCAGGCCTGCTGCATCAAAAACAGCTTCCAGGGCCACCACAAAGACCCCTCTTCCTTGCCACCCGCACATTTAGAGCAAAAGGGCTGTGCTGAGATGGTGGCTACTATGCTTGATGCCACTGATGAAGGGGGATGCGCAAGCCCCAAGGTGCTTCCATACAGAGCAAGGACTTGAGAATGGATCCCCTCAGTCCTTGAGGCAGGGCCCAGCACTGCAGACCTAGTCGCTCAACTCCAAGGAAATTTAAAGGAGACCTCTTTGGCCCACTCTGGTATCACCACCTGGGTCATTCTTCATGAAATTCCCTGGCCTGCCTTTGGCTACACACAACTGCCCAGCTGTCCTCTAGGACGGAGTCACCTCTAACACCCCTCTAGCTATGTGACTACCTAAGTCCCCCAATGGGAACAACGGGAAAGGTGGCAGCAGCTGCTTTCTGCCCTTAGGGGCTTCACTGCTTTGTCACTGGGCCTGAGGTTTCCCAGTTGCAAGATGTAAGATGGGACAAGTTGATCACTATAGTTTGGTCTTCTCTTAGGTGTGGCCTAGACCAGAAGGCCTCCTGGGATGTGAAGACAGGCCTTTCAAGGACAGATATAACCTGAACGCTAGCCAGTTCAGTTCCACTGCCATTCAGAACAGAAGGCTGCAGAAAATAACTTCTGGCTGGCTGATCTGGAGAGACCTTATAGAATGGATGGCATCAGTAATGGCCCTGAAAAGTAATTGGGACTTCTGATTTCCTTTGTTATGGGGACAGCGTACTGTCAAGGTTATAGAGCCAATGGCTGAGAACAAGGACTATATCCAACCTTAGTAAGGGATCTCACAAGTCTGGGCTAGGAAAATCAGAGTGAGAGAATGGAGACAGCTTAGGGCCACCTGAGTGCACACCCTTCTCAAGGTGTGGCCTAGACCACAGGACCTCCTGGAATGTGAAGGCAGAACCTCCGCCAGCCCTTCCTGGGGCTCAGAAATAGTCCCGTGTGGTTAGTTTAAGAACTGATGGTATTTATGGTAATGGGGTTTTTACTAAACACTTATTCCACAATTGATACATTCCTCAAAAATATGAATGATCACATTTTGGTAAATGCCCCCAACAAAAGCACTTGGTGTAGTGTGACAGTTAAAGGAATCCATGAGGGGGATCCCTATTGTTGTAAAGGGCAGATCCTTCTTATGAAAAGCAAATAATCATTCATTCATACCTCTGGCATCTCTCATGAGTCCTACACCCACATGTGCTGCAAGTGGGGCATGAACAGAACCCAGGGCTCTGGCAAAGGTTCCTCTGGCTGGTGCGTGGGGCTGGAGAATCTCCCGGAGAACAGGCAGAATCAGCCCCACTTATCTGCCAGGAGCCATAGCTATCTCTACTCTTAGCAAACAGACCAGCCTCACAGGAAAGTACAGGAGGAGGAAGCTGGCAAGGGTAGGCGGGGAGTCATCCGGTGACTGCAGACGCAGCTACCCCTCTCCTATTTTCTCACCTACACTCAACATCCCTTTTGTTTTTGGATTATTGGTACAAAGTTTCAGTGGTATTAAGACTCCAAGGCAAAGAGAATTCCAAGTCTTCACGGAGTTTGCTCGGCCTCAGTTGATAAGTCTTTTCACAAATAGGTAACAAAGAACCCAGAGAGGTTGCAGGTTTACATGGGGAGACATGGGCCCATGCGGGAGCTATGAAGGTGCCTGAGTCCCCACACCAGGCTCAGTGGACTCAGACTGGCTTTTAAATGACAGCCCACGGTGGGGAGCTGTGGGGGAAGGCAGGGTGATGCTCAGGGCACTGAGCACTCCAGACTCCACCTCCAGGGTGCCAGGAACCTCCCACACATTAGTCCCTTGAGAGCCACCCTGTTCCCAAAAGACCCACAGAGCCAAAGTGCCAACCTCTGTGTTTGCTGCACTTGTGGGCGGCATCCAGGAAGTGTCTGGGGGCAGGGACACTCATCTACTCGCTCACTGGGGCTGTGACTCATTTCTCTGACAGTTTGATCCTCCTCTGTTTGCCAAACCTGAATTTTGGTTTGTTTCATATCCTGGGGGATTCTGAGAACAAAGCTCCTTCCTTAGCTGGGCTCTGACAGTTCCCTCCCCGCAACTTTCTGTCCATAGGTGTTGCCAATGAGAGATCCCAGACAAATTCTGTAAACCTCCCCGACCCCCTCGAGTTTTTTTCTTCTATAATTCAGAAGTATCAACGAATGCCCTAACTACCTCATGTTGAAAGGTAAACTGAGTGAAGTAATAAATGTGGGGGCTGTCTGGAAAGTTGAGAAGAGCTGGGGGAGGAAAAACAGATTCAGTGAATAACAATATGGTAGTCCCGGGCAGGGCCTCGCACCTGAAGTACCTCCAGCAGCCAGCAGGGGGAGCCCTTCCCAAGCACTAGAGACCTACCTGGGGGCATATTGGGTCAGGCACCGGGAGGCTGATTTCTATGGGCTCTGGGCACTGCTGCCCCAAACCTGTGTGCCTCCTGGCCACCCTGTGGGGAAAGGGCGTAGTGATATGGGCCATTTCTCATGCCTTACTCCAGGGCTCCTCTTTCCAGCCTCGGTCAGGTCAGGCCATGCCACACACTCACCAGTATACCACCACTGTGTGCTTCATGTACTTGAGAAGTTTCTTGGTCTCAAACAGCAGGGGGATATCCAGAATCACATAACGATATCCTGGGGGAAAGCCGGGAAAGCCACAAAGTCAATTTTGTAAGCACACACTGAGGACTATGTGTTAGGCGTGGCAACAGAGTCGAAGCCATTGGCTCCTGCCATTGAGGGCTCCCCAGCAGAGGGAAAGACCTTCCAAGGATAGGCATAACCTGAAAGCTAGCCAGTTCCAATGCCCTTCAGAAAAGAATGCTGCAGAAAGGCATTTCTGACTGGATGAGCAGGTAAGACCTCGTAGAAGGGATGGCACTTGTATTGGCCTCACAAAGCAGGTTGGACTTCTGATACTTGAAAATGAGCGGGTAGAAGTGAGCGTTCCAGGAATGGGGGACAGCGAAGCACAAGGAGCAGCGACGTCCTACTGCTCTGGCTGAAGTGGAGGCCTTGAGCAGTGTGAGGCGAAACTGATGAGGTGGTCAGGGCGGGCACAAAGCATTGAGTTCACCTTGACCTTAAACCCAAAGAGTTATTTCTGAGCAGGGAATGACACAGCCAGAACTGTAGGAGGCTGGGAAAAGTTTCCCTGCAAGACTCATATGGGGGCGGCAGCAGCAGCCCCAACAGGGAACAAGCTGCTTCACAGGGTCAGAGGCAGACCACCAGCCTGGGACAACAGGGACAGGTCTGTTGTGACTGATACTAAATAACTAACTCCAGTGGGGTGAAAGGCATTAGCTGGCTCTTCCATTGCAAGCCAAGGCCAGTCGAGGGCGGCACCCTCACCAGCTGTGAGTGGGCACATCCCCGGGCTGCCCGCCCAGAAACACCATGGGCTCCACACTCCCAGTTCTCTTTAAGCCAGTGGTCCCTGTGTAGATGTAATAAAGCTGGCAGGGGCCCAGGAGCAGTGAGGGGCAAGGACAGGCACGCTCGCGGGCTTGGATGGTGTCCCACTGCAAACACTTCCAACCATAGAACCAGACACATATCACACCAATTCCAAGGGTGTCACAGAAAAACTGGCGCTCCAGGTGATGCAGGGAACAGGCGTGACAACCCAAACTGCTGGGTTGTGCTATTCTCCAGGATGTGCTGCCCAGGAAGCCTTCAGTTTAACAAGGGGTTAAGAGAATGGGTGCTGATGACATACCTGGGTTTGTAGCCCCCCCACTTTCCCACCATGCGACTTTGGGCCCCTTGATAAACCTAATCTGTATAAATGAGTGAAAAGACTACCTACTTCACAGGAAGAATTAAATGAGCGAAGTCAGGCAGAGCACTCAGCACCCCCCACCCAGGTCCTAAGTGCTCCATAAGTGATGGTTATTATATACTACTGTTCCCTGGGGAAGGCGGCTGGCAGTGCTGGCTCCCCCACTCCCCTCCCAACTCGGAACAGGAGCCAAGACCAGATCCTCTATGGGCCTCTTATCGCTCTTTCCTGCTTCACTCCCATCCCTTCCTCTCCCCTCACTGTCCTTTCTCCTCGGCTCCTCTCGGGAGCTCGTGGCCAGCTCTTTGGTTCACTGGCAAAGGGCTATTCAGCTGTCACATCCCTCCTGCTTGATAAGCTCTGCAAACTATCCTGACTCTATTAAGACATCCGTCTGCCTGCACAGAGACCTCCCCAACAGCTGGTGATCTTATCTGACGTTTGATTATACCAACTCTGACAGTTGTATTTGTTATAGTCATCAGGGAAAAACTGGGACTGTGGAAGCCACAGCTGTCGTCCCCATTTTTCACCTTATCAAGCTGAAAAGAGCTTTCTGGCTTTTATTTAAGTGGTGGTGGTTGGGGAGATGGGGGGGGGCTGGGCGAATGACACTGCGGGAGAACTTTGGAGCGAGTGACATTATCCAACGCTTAATTTCAAAAGGGGAAAGCCGCTGTCACCTCAAAGCCCTGCAGATGTACTTGCAACTGGCCTGGGAGCAAATGCAAAAGAGCAGGAATGAAAGGCAGAAGGCTTCCTCCTGAGTGTGGGGCAGGAGGAGGTCCTGGCAGAGACACAAGAGGCAGGACAAAGGCAGAAAGAGTCCAGAGACCCTCCTTGAGGGAGGCCTGCGGCAAGGTACCGAGATGCAGAGCGAAAGCTGGTCCAGCAGGGAGGATGCCCGGAGCCAGCACCCCCACTGGATAGAGCTGGTGGGAGGGGAAGGGGGGGTTAACATCACAGATGTCTGTCAAGTCATCCCTTTCTTTCTGAAGGAAAGTACTGACCAGAGGGAGCTGGGGGTGAGGCGAAGTTCCCCACTTTGTACATGAAAACTTGATGCCAAAGAGAATAGGGGGTTTGGCCACGATTACAGGGCAAACGCTGGAAAAAACCTAGGTGGCTCCCCCAAACCCTTCAGGAAGGAAAGCCTCAGCATCATGACTGACAATGAGGAGCTAAGCAGCCAGGCCTTCAACTCGGAGGCCCAGGCTGGAGGTCACACGTGCCAAAGGCTGCAGGGACCCTAGGCCAGCCTCTTGCCTGATCCCAAGCCACTGCTCTCTGCTCTCCCACTTCTCCTGGTGACTGACCCCATCAAGGACAGTAAGTGTTAGGTCACCCCTACCCAACACTATCCTGAAGAACAGGGCTTGAACTGTGGCACATGGCCTGGGAAAGGCTGCTGACAGCTGCGGCAGAAGGTTCTTGCCAACTGACCACAGACCCCTGCATTTCACACGCTCTCCCCTTCTTTCAGTCCTGGCATGGCACCTGGCTGTCCCGGCTGCACACGCCAGGCTAACTCTCCACTGAGCCCTAGCCCCAAAGGATTACCCTCTTCTTAGAACCGCTCCGCCACCTGCCCTGGCCACCCTGGACCCTCCCTAACTTCCTGTCTTCAAACTTACTTTCCCAGGCGGCATAAGACCAGCACCCAATCTGACTCTGACTGTGGTTTCTATTTGTGTGGTGAGGGACAGTCACTGACGTGGACTCTGTCTCCCTAACAGCTTTGCAAGGTTGACATTATTATCCTCATTATGCAGATGAGTAACAGGCAGAGGGGTTGGCTCACTTGAAAGTCACATAGCTAGAAACTGTGAGGGCCAGGACTTAAACTCAGGTCTCATGACCCCATTATTCATCCGCTACGATTACTCCCATCCCTACTAGAAAAAACAACTTACTTCCTGGGGATCATGGCTCAAAAGCCTCAAGAGTCTCTTCTCATTAAATTGTCAACCTCCTTAAGAGTTGGGGGTCATTGGCTTCTTTCCTCTGGGGCTGGGACGGGGCTCTGCATGGGGGAGGGGTTGCCAATCAACAATGTGAACTCAACAGCCGGGATATCCAGCTCCCTGCTGCCCTGGTCAACTTTTCTGCAGAGAAGAGCCCTGGCCCTGAAAGGAGAGGGCTTTGCCCACCCCTGTCCCAGACCCTGGGTCTTACCCCGGAGGAAGTACTTGAAGGTTTCCTTCATCATTTCCTTGCGGATTTCAGGGTGGGTGATGGTGTTGAGCAGATGCCGCCGGTCAGGCTGGTTAAAGATCAGGTCTCCCAGGACCTTGCGATTGATGTCGCCATTCTCGAGCAAGACCTCAGTGCCAAAGGCCTCCACGATGCGCCGGTGGGCAGGGTATCCTGGCTGGACGACTGTGACACGAGGAGGAGGCTGAGTTACTCACTGGAGCCTCCAGGTCAGCCTCAGGACCCCGAATGGCCAGAGGCAAAATGATGGGGGAACCCAGGGGTGCTTCCTTCAATTGAAGCACAAAGGAAATGAGGGGAGGGAAAGTAGTTAAGGAAGAGAGGAGAGTGCACAGAATCCCTCCTGTTGGTCACAGGGTGAGGTGAAGGGGGGGCGGGGACTTCTAAGGAGAGGGAGGGGTAAAGAGGAAAGGACAAGCATGGTGCAGGGAGCAGGACATCAGACAGGGCTAACGGGAAAGGCTTCCCCGCCTCTGAGGCCTTGGAAGGCCTTATAAAAAGGTGAGGTGGCCTGATGGAAGAAAGGAAGCCCAGGGGAGCTGCCGTGTCCAGTCCCGCAACCCGCCCCCTCCAACTCACCATGTCGGGCGATGACGTCGACATCAATCACTGCACACCCCAACTGCTGGAACACCTGGATCACTGAGCTCTTGCCTGAGGCAATGCCCCCTGTCAGGCCCACCAGGAACATCTTCCTAGGGAGACTACAGACCCAGAATCGAACAATCACTGGAGTACGGTGAGCTTAGTCGACTGGAATGGGCCACGACAGGAAGGCCAGAAGGACCTGCGTGTGGGACGAGAGCAGGCCTGGTCAGGGCTGGGGGAGTGAGGCAAAGGAAGGAAAGGGAGACACAGTCTGACCAGGCTTGGGGAGCTCTGGGTCCATCCTGAAACTGGAAACTCGTTCAGGAAAGGCCTCCAGTATTCTTTGAAAAACACTCATAAATAAGGCAAACTAACACAGTCTAAATTTAGCAAAGTGCTGAGCAGGCAGAACAAGGTCAGGTGTTGCTAAGCAGAAAGTGCTTTCTGCAGGCAGCAGTACCCTTCCGATGCAG